CTAGGTACTTTATTTTCTTTGTTGCTATAGCAAATGGAATTTTCCCCCTGATTTCTGCTTCTGATATTTCATTGTTGGTGTACAAAAATGCCTTCGATTTCTGAATACTGACTTTGTATCCTGCTGTTTTGCCAAATTCACTTATTAGGTCGAGTAGTTTTTTGGTGGGGTCTATAGGATTTTCCATGTACACTATCATGTCATCTGCAAACAGTGATAGTTTTACTTCCTCCTTTTGAATTTGGATGCCTTTTATTCCTTTTTCTTGTCTGACCACTGTGGCTAGGACTTCCAATACTATGTTGAATAAAAGTGGTGAAAGCGAACATCCTTTTTTTTTTCCCAATCTTAGTAGGCAAGCTTTTAGTTTTTGCCCGTTGAGTATATGTTGGCTGTAGGGTTTTCATATATGGCCTTGATATTGTTGAGGTATGCCCCCTTTATTCCCACTCTGCTGAGTGTTTTTATCATAAATGGGTGCTATACTTTATCAAATGATTTTTCTGCATCTATTGAGATGATCATGTGGTTTTTGTCTTTCCTTTTGTTTATGTGATGTATTACGTTTATTGATTTCCTTATATCACTGGGATGAATCCCACTTGATCATGGTGGATGATCCTTTTAATGTATTGCTGGATATGGTTTGCCAGTATTTTGCTGAGGATTTTAGCGTCTGGGTTCATCAGCGATATTGGCCTGTAGTTTTCTTTCTTTGTTGTGTCTTTATCTGGTTTTGGTATTAGGGTGATGCTGGCCTCATAAAAAGATTTTAGGAGTCTTCCCTCATCTTGGAGTTTTTGGAATAGTCTGAGAACGACAGGGGTTAGCTCTTCCTGAAATGTCTTGTAAAATTCTCCTGTGAAACTGTCTGGTCCAGGGCTTTTATGTGCTGGGCGTGTTTTGATTACTGCCTCAATTTCTCCAGCTGTTACCAGCCTGTTCAGGCTTTTGCTTCTTCTTCATTCAGTGTTGGAAGGTTATACTTTTCTAGAAATTTGTCCATTTCATCAAGGTTTTCAAATTTCTTGGCATATAATTGCTCATAGTAATTTCTTACAATCCTTTGTATTTCTGTGGTATCAGTTGCTATATCTCCTCTTTCATTTCTGATATTATTTATTTGGGTCCTCTCCCTTTTTTCTTGGTGAGTCTGCTTAAACTTGTCAATTTTGTTTATCTTTACAAAGAACCAGCTCCTGGATTGGTTGATCCTTTGAATTGTTTTTTTTTAGTCTCTATGTCATTCAGTAGTTCTGTTCCCTCAGCTCTCTCCCAACACCTCCATCTCCAGTCTCTCTTCAAGTGTCTCTAGACAGCTATGTGTCCCCTTTAGCCAGGGATCTACTATCTGTGCCAGCTGCTCTGCACTTAGAACCCAGGCCTGCGTGCAATTCCTGGCCACGGCAGAGCCTCCTGAGGGTGAAGCAATTGTGTCCTTTATGCCTGAGCAAGATGGAACGTGCGGAGGGGGAGGTGAGTCATCACTGGGGCCCCGCTGGCCATTGTCTCAGTTCTCTCCCCAAAGCTTTCCTCACCAATCTCTCCTCAGGCAGCTCCAGTCCACACTGCCCCTGCCTCTGCCCAGAGACCAAGGAAAGTGGCTGCCACTGCAAATGTTTGTGTTGGCCCTTTAAATATGTCTTTGCGTCTCCAGCCGCCTGTCTCCGGCAAGGAGCACCACTACGCATTTTGCAGCTTCTTTTGTCTGTGTGCCTTTCTGGGTTCTGGTGCTGTAGGCTAAGGGTCCCGCTTATGATTCAGACCCTGTTCTTCTCAGGGGGATCCAATTGGCCGTTTCAATGTCCCTCTGGTGCTGGCACCTGTGGCGCCCAGCCCACCCTCTTGAACCTCCACTGTACTTCTCATCCATTCGGTTGTGCAAAAGCCAAACCCACTGTCTGTCCAAGGCTCCAAGGCTCCTCTCTCACTATCCTTCCATTGTTTTCCAGGAGATTTCTCCACAATTTAGTTGCAATTCCAGTGTGGTCCTAGGAGGTCAGTGTGACTTCCACTCACTCCTCTGCCATATTCTCCCTCTCTCATCTTGCATTTAATATTTCATTTATTTAATGATATAACTTAAGAAGTCACAAGAAGGCACATTGTAACCCACTACCTTCCAACTGTTTTCTCCTGGAAATACAAAAAACCCCTCTATTTTACTGACAAGAAACAATTCTCCCTACACTGAGAATCCTTCGGGAACTCAGATTCAACCCTAACAACTTATCAAAGTTATTTATAAGAAACAAAAATAAAAAATAAAAAAATTTCCTTCCTAATGGGAATTCTTGTGAACTAATATTCCAGATCTCATCTCTTTATCTGTGTGTGTATGAGATTTAAAGACCTTATCTTACAGTGATATATTTCATGGGGAAGAGTAATGGTCTTCACTTGGCTCCAGAGTTGCTAATTGTATGTTGGGACTTGACCTACTTTTGGACTCTTTCTAACTGAAAAAATGTTTAGAGATGATCCTAGATATGAGGCCTGGGGTAGGGGTTGGGGGGCAGGGTAAAAACGCATAAGAATAATAGGACATTGTAAAAGTATTTCCAAGAAGAATTGAAAATAGTGTGAAAGAAACAAGGCAGCAGAGAAAGCACAAGTGGGAAATCCTGCAGAAGGTGCCGCCCATCTTCCCTGTCCATTGGCCACTCAGAGGCTTCAGGCACCTTCACACACTCCTGTGCCCTGGGGCCATGCTGTCCTCCTGGGTAAGGCTGACAATCAGCCACATAAGCAACACAGGTCCCAGCGATGAAACTAGATTCAACAGAAGGCAACTTGCTAAAGGAATAAGTTTGTTTAAAATATGAATCTGGAGAAATACGAATAGTATGGCTTCCATATAGTAGACTCAACTTTTCTCAAATGAAGATATTCAAGAATTTGAAATGACAGTATCTATACTGTGTAATTTCTTGATAATATCTGAAATATAAAATTATACAATTATTTCTGTCCCTGATTTTTCCTCCTGTCCTCCACTAGTATTTATTGATACTCTGTGATAAACTCTGTGCTAAGATATGAGGATACAGAGATAATAATAGTCCTTGTCTTTAGAAGTTCAGAATCTAGGAAGGATTTAGACATGTAAATAGATATAATAAAAACTGACCACAATGTACTAAGAGAGAAGTGAAAGTCTCATGAATACACACAGTACAGGCTTAAGTTGGAGGATCATGGAATCCTTTCTGGAACAAGGGGCATCTGAGCTTGTCTGAAGCGTGAGTAACTGGCTACTGAGCCAGGAAAGAAAGGATGTTCCCAGTAGAGGCAAGACCATGTAAAAGCATCAAGAGCACATGATCTTTCTGAAGATGTATGAGTAGTAATTGAGCATGGCTGGAGCAGTGTGGCCGTAGTGTGCAAGGAGACAGCAATGCAGTGGGGGAGGTGGTCTGAGAATCACTTGTGAGAATCCTTGTTCCCCGAGGGCAGTGAGGAGGGGCAGGGGCAGAGCGGTATTTAACGAGGTCGCTGTGGCAGTGGCATCAGTATGGAGGCAGGAGCTGAGAAGTCAGACTAGAGGCCAAGAGCCTAGTTGAAGACAAAAGTAATCCAGATGAGAACATCCAGAATATTTAAATCAATGTCAAGCTCACACATACAAGATAAGCCCCGTCTCATGACAGTCTCCCAAGGGAAACAGGGCAGCAAGAGAGAGGAGCTGTCCACTGCAAGTCCTCAGAAGCCCCGCACCCTCGCATGTTTCACTAGGATCACAAAGCATTCCACCAAGACTCAGATTAGCTGCAGTTCAAGTCTTTGCCTACAAGGCCACCGTGGACACATGTGAAGAATCAGAGGGCCATGGCAGAGCCATTTCCTTACAGGCAGTAGCAGTGGGTTTGGAAACGAAGAAGCAAGGAATTGAGGAGATTATTAAAGTAATGGAACAAACAAGTTGGTGGCTGATAGGATGTCAAGAATAATGCCCTTTCTTCCTGAAGCTACTGAGTAGATGACAAAACGTTCGCAGAGATAAATTATGTGAGTGCTATGGAATAGGATAAGTTTAGAGGTGAGGGGAGAAGGAGTGGTGAGGTGATATGACTTCAGAGCTGACTAGAGGTGGACTCTTGGGACATCCAAAGAGCAATGACAGTAGGCATCTGGATATGTGATTTTGGAAGCTCTTAAGAGAGGTCTGGCCTGGAACTGTAGGGAGTTCCAGGATTTAGACAGTAGTTAACACCACAAGAAAAACTGAGCTCAAACAAGAGAATGTCCAGGTAAGATAAGAGGAAGGTATTTCTAGTATAAAAAATATATTGTTTTTTAAAACAAATGCTTTCAAAGAATCATACAACTAGAATTCCTACAGGTGAATATCTTGAAGAACTCCATTCCTTTTCTTCTTGCAGCTGGTTGGCTTTCAATTGTTTGGAAAGCTCAGGTTTATAAAAGGAAATTGGTCACTATGGAAACAAGCTATTTAATATCAAACAGGCAATTTCACCTTAAAAGGGTAATTACTTTAGTGTTTCCCTTAATTGTATGTTTTCATGGTTTTCAATAATCATACACCCTTTTGGTCAGAAATTTCCAATCAGTTAATGACCTGGTAAGCAAGAGAAAAAACACTAATCGATAGCTATTTTCCCCAGGTTGCTCACTGTGCCAGCGCCCCAGACAAGACATTTTGTGAATTTAATATTCCATTTTATCAGGGTGTGCAGTTCGCCTAATTTCTATAGCCAGACTAAATCTAAATGAACAATTACAAAGAAAGTGTCTAGATTTTCTTCCTTCATTGATCCCTTTGGCTGAGAATGAACATGTTAATTTCGTGTTAGTTGTCAATCATTATTCTAGGCTGCAGTTAAAATCTAAAGATGCATCAGAAGAAAAAGGGAGAATTTTTAAAATGTTACCAAAATGCTAAACAAGATTCATGCAAATTCTTAAAATGTAAATTTTAATTATTTTACACTTTTAATCTAAAGCTACACTGATATTTAAATAATTGGTACTTCACTGACCTTATTCAAAAAAGCCTGTATTATTCCTTTCTGATTTGCCATAGAAGCAATGGATCTGTGTCTCCCAATGGAAGCAATAATTTGGGTTTCTTTCTCCAGAAGTTCACACAAAGCAGCTTTCCTTTCAGCTCCAGTGAAAGACTGGTTAATTCGTGCCAGTTCTTCTTGTTGCCAGACTAGAAGAATAATATGAAAGACTTGAGTTTTAAAAGCCCACATCTTTACAGTGTTTTTTTACCATCACATCCTGACAAGCAGTATTTTATTTTTGTATCAATTTAAATAGAATTATATATGAATAGAATCCTTCATAGTGTACATCTGATACATGAAAAATAAGATGAAACAGAAGCTGAGAGACTAAACAATAGTCAAACAAACAGAAGCCAAAGGACATCAGTGCAGAAAATGTCAACCTATGCCTCCAGGTAAGCGTGCTCACGATTCCTCCCCAAAGGCGGCAGGTGTGTCCTCCATCCATGCAAGTTTACCTAACTTTAGCTTCACTCACAATACCCTCACCAGTGAACACACCAGAGTATGGTGAATGGTCTGGCCCCACAAATCAGCCTTTTCTTACAGACATCTCATTCGCTTCTTCCCCAATCCATCCAGGAACTGTGGTTTCCAGGTATAGCTAGACCTTGCCTTAACTTCCTTTCTATTCTTACGGCTGCACTGAAAGAAAAATCTGGTTTTTTAACTGTGCTATTTACTTTACCTCCTGTTTTCCTCACAATTTCTAGTCCTCTCTTTCTAATTAAATAAGGCCATAAAAATGACAGTTGTTTACTATGTAGCAGGCTCTGTCCAAAGTGCTTCTTGCATATATGAACTCATTTACTCTTCTGACAAACCAGTGAATAGGTGTTACTATTATCCCCTATATTATAGAAAAGGAAACAGGAAAAGAGAGATTGTATAACTTGTCCGAAGTGGAGCCAGGACTCAAACTCAGGCAGTCTGGCTCCCTGGTCCACGGGCTTGACTGCTCTCTGCCTCTCAAAAATATATCAGCCTTTGAATTGTACACTCTTTTTCAATGCAGATTTATCTGCTGGTTTACGCTGGAGAGCCACCTTTACTTAATTAGCCATCTAATTCCTTCCTCTTACATAGAGATAATTTATAATTACAGTGTCAGAATGATGAACTTGCAGGCACTCATGAACTACATTCTGGCCATAGAAGCAAACCTATTTTTTCTGAAGTTTAAAAAAACCTGGTTCACTTACCTTGTTATTATTCCTGCCAAAATTCTACCACTTCTTTGCTGGTTCAAAATACCTATTAACCCTTTTTGAGTAATTATCTTGTGAAAGGAACTCTGTACGGTTTGATGGTGCAAACAAAAGTGAGAAAGACTTGTGCCTTATTGAAGGAACTAATATGTTTCCTTGCTTCTCCCCGGTTGGACAGACTGTGAAATCATATAAGATTATTTTCCCTTATCTTCTACTAGATATGATTCAGTCAAGTAAAATGTACCCTTCCTTTGTTATATTCCAGACATGATTAGTTTTTCACCTGTTACAGGGATAGTGCAGAATATATTACATTTATATATCATTTATATAATTAGAAATTACATTTTTCTTCTATTAAAATGCCAGGTTACCTTAACACCAGGCTCTGCATTGAAAAGTATGTATCTGAAGCCACAATGTTATTTCCAGCCCTCTTCTGCTATAATCACTGCCTTTCATGACATCTAGCTTAACAGTGTTATCAGACCATTTCTTCTTCCTCTTAAATTTCAATTTGAAATCATCCTGATCTGGTAAGAACTTGTCAGTCATGTTCCTTATAAGAATCTACTCTGTCCCTCACCAAGGATATATTATTCAAACACTGTATGACTTGGTTTGTCTAAAAAGAGGATTTGTAAATTTATGAGCTAAATAATGCCATACAAGTCCAGGAAATCCATAACTGATGAGTTTATCGTTTAAGAGTAGCAAACAAAAAGAACTTTTAAAAACTGAACAAACTCCATGTACCAAAAGATAGTATATGAAGAGAAAAATTGTTTGTTTGTGAAAATAATAACTGAAAATATTTATTTCATTATATGGGTGTTCCCAGAAAGCAGGAAAAAAAAAACCTGAATGATACTAGTAAACCTATTTTACTCTTTAGTTTTAAAACATTAGAAACTTTTCAGATCAGTAATAAATTTAGGCTACTAGGATATCATTTAAGTTATTCTGCCAACCTCAAAAAACAAGACATTCTCCATTAGAGGAATGACCTCCCTATAAATCTATAACAAGGGATGGAACATGGCAACAGAAACATACCATGTTCCAGCTACTAATAAGAAAAACACAGGAATCAGGAGCACCTAGACAAAACTAATTTGACAACTCATTTGCCCATTTCCAGAACTATAAATAGAAGACATTAAGGGAAACAAGAGAGATTCTGCCCCTTTCATAAAATATATGTTCCCTAGGAATCATTTTTAAAATGGAATGATGTATTAGTTTCCTGGGGCAGCAATAATAAAGTACCACAGAATGGGTGACTTAAACAACAGAAATTTGTTTTCTCACAGTTCCGGAGGATAGAAGTTCAAGGCCAAGGTGATGGCAGGGTTAGTTTCTTCTGAGGGCCTCTCTCCTCGGCTTGCAGATGGCCATCTTCTTCTGGTGTCTTCATATGATCTTTCTGTGCATGTCTGTTTCTCAGTCTCTTCTTCTTATAAGAACACCAGTGAAATTGGCTTACATCCCACTCATAGGACCTCGCTCATTCTTAATTATTTCTTTAAAGGCCCTATCTCCATATACAGTCACATTCTCATATACTGGAGATTAGGACTTCAACATATGAATTTTAGGGGAACAAAATTCAGCCCATAACAAATGCCAATTAACTCCCAATATTTTTTAAAGAAAACAATATTAAATTGGTTCATTTGAAAAAATACATTTATCTCCTTAATTTATCTTCTTTCACAAATGACCTGATTTCCAGAGTCTGAAGTTCAATTACAAAACGGAAGTATAAGACTAGTATTTAGTGCATACACATTTTAAAATTTCTGAGATCTAATTGCAATTTTAAAGTAAAAAAATAACAGAACATACAATATCTTTTCCACCACTGCCAGTTCATATGCATCTTCTTTTTAAAATTCTCATCTTTAAATAAATAAATTTCTCATCACAGACTGGAATCCTGAATGTCAAGAACCAAGGAAGATTCAGAATCCCAGGGCCAGATATGTAATTGAACTGGGCCCAGGGAGTCTCCAGAAGCTAGAAGTCAGGGTACCTTGAGATGAAGAGGTAATAATTAGTCAGAAAACACAGTTAACTCAAGCCAAAACTAAGCAAGAGATTATAATATTCGATTAAGCAAATTTACTAGATATACTGAGCAAGGTCCTATCAGATGCCATAGGCAAAAAGATGAACAATTAAGAGAGTGGTGTGTACAGAGAATAATGGAGCAAAGAAAAGAGGCTCTGAGCTCTACCCATGCTGTTGAGAGAGGCTTCCTAAAGATGTCTAACCCTATGCCAAATCTGAGATAAAGCGACAATTCAGATCAATGGATTGATAAATGAATGAATGAATGAATAAATGCATACTAAATAAAATTTTTAAAAGACATAAAAATCAAACATCTTTCCATGGATATAGTCTTGTATCTGACTAATTATATTACCTTATACAGTTAAATCCATTTGTTAAAATGATCTCATTTCACTTAATAATTGAGGGACAGATTATCTGGAAGAAATGTTAAAATTGGTATTAGTCAATGTAATTCAAACTATGCAGCTGCCACTATTGGCCACGAGAGGGCAGCAGTTTCAAATACTGGAGTTGAGACGACAGCCTGAACTTACACCTTTAAATAGAAGAGTGATATAAATTATTGAGCTTGTGACTTTTGAACCAGAAATTTTAACTACCACAAAACAGACTTAAAAGCTATCATTCTGAGAATTTAAATTTAGAATTGTAGGACTAGAAGAAAACTGAGAGGTATGGGTTTTATGTAAGAAATTTCACTTTTATTTTTGTCATATAAATCATGTAGAAATAAAAAAATATATTTGTTCTACTTTAATATGGGAAATCTGTATATAATTATTTACCATATGACAGTAACTCAGACATGCACAGGTCTTTGCACCTTTTAAAGTACTTTCATAAATTTAATATTTTATATTATAAAATGTAATATCTTATTAAATGTAAAAATATTTTATACTTTTCACTTTATATAACCTCCTGAAATAGATATGTCAGAAACTATTAAGTTCTTTTATAGTTGAAAAAAAACTGAGGCTTAGGAAAAGTAAGTAACTTGTATAAGTTAATACCACTGTTAAGTAGTAAAGGTAGAACTTCATTTAGCATATTTCCTATTATTTTGTATAGTTACCTCTTCATCAAACAGAATAACACTGGTATCCTTTGGCTTATTCACATACGAATTTGGATTACTGTTTGAACAGAGTTCTGCTGTAACAGAAGTGTAGTTTTATAATTATCAGTATGATCTTTCACAGACACTTTGCCACCACTGCTCTCTGTTAAACCATCAAACTTAGAAATAACCTTTGTTTTCCTCTGACAGAGCAAATGGAAATAGAGGTAAAATGTAAAGTAAAACAAAGTATTTGCACAGGTCAACAATTAGGAGAAAGAGGAAGCAGATGTACCAGTCCAGGGAGCAAGCTTAACTGTTACACACTGCTACATTCCTAAAGCCACTCAATTTTGCATGCGAAATTTCATTAATTTTGCTGGTTGGACCTAGTGTTGAATTGTATCATCTTCAGTAAATAGTGCATTTTCATATAGCTATTTAAATATGTCCAATATCCAACACCTAAAATTGTATTTGGTTAGAGGAAAAAGTGACTTGAGTAACAAACACATAATAGTATCCACAAATAGTATATAAAGAAACAAAGTTATAGTAAAAAAATTGCATAAAGTTGTTATGAATCATCGCAGAAGTCAAAGACTGTTATTTCTTTGGATAAAAAAAATAAAACCCATTCAACAATGGCAAAAAAGTTAAAGCTATTTTTAATTTCTAAAATTTTTCTGTGATCACATGAAGCCAACTTCTCTACTTTCTGGCATCCAAGGTAATAGAAAAACTCTTCTGTTCCAGTTACTTCCATTTTAGCAGGTAACTTCTGAGAAAGCAGAAACTAGAAACAGCTGCATTACTACATTCCTAGGTTTCCCATTCATTCATTCATTCATTCGTTCAACCAGTATTTGTTGGGATATGAGCTAAGCACAGAAAAACAGGCTAAAAATATCAGTTTCTCTCAAAGCTTACAACCCAGTGGGGAAAGGTGATTTCAAACAAAAGGTGTATTACTACAAATTATGGTGTTATAAGTGAAAAATCTGGAGTGCAATAGGATAGCAAGTTGTATTGTCAGTCACAAAAGCCTGTGACTAGACGACATTGAAGCTGAGGTTGGAAGGTAGGCAATGGGACAGGCTCCCAGGAGAACAGCGTCTCTACAGCCCTGAGAGCCCTTGGCTTGTTCAAGGAACTGAAGCTTCTAATTGTGTCAATGACTAGCACACATTGTATGAAAGAAATGAGGCATAAAAGTCAAGTGTGCAGAAAATACACTCTACTATATTAGGATTAAAGGAAGGGAATAAAAGGTATTGCCCAGCCCTCATCTAAAGACCAGAATCAGAGACAGGGTGCTGGACCGAGGAACGGCGGACAGTTTAACCGTGAGTTCACAAATTCCCAAAACTGTCAAAGAACCATATTAGGCAATACTTTCTTTATTTCACAGGGATGAGGATCAAATGAAATAATATAAAAAATTTGCATAACTTACCCATTGTTAATATAAAAGCATTTCCAAATTCATTTCAGCCTTAATTCCTGTCCCATATATAAGACCTTATTCATCATTTTAAACTGTCTACTACAGATTCCCAAGACATTTTCCTAACATAATAACATCTTCCTTTTGTCTTTAATAGACCTGTTTTTCCTATTAATGAAAAATTATAAAAATTAACATTTCATGCAAAGCTTATTTCAAACTTACAATTTAGTGCATTATACAGAAGTTCAAAATCGTCTTTTGTTTGAGGATTATGCCTCCGGTAATAGTCCAATTTCTTCCATTCTTCTTTTTCTCTTCTCTTTCTTAGTTCTTCCTGTTCCTCCCACTTTAACCTTAACATTTTTTGTCTTCTTAAATTCTCTACCACGTTTTTTGCATGCCATTGTCTATAGTAAGTCTGTAAAACTATTACCTGTAGTTAAATGAAAAGGAAATAAAAGGTATCTACCATCAACTTTAACAGTCAATAACAAAAGACAATATTGATTATATTTACTCCAATTCAATCAATACTAAAAAACCGAGTCCAGTTTTAGCTCTGTGGCAGATATTCTCCATACGAGAACATTATGACATGGATAGTGCACATCAGCTATTTGACTTTGAAATCTAGCAAATACACTTTCATAGGAGTCAGACAGTACAATGCTTAAAAACACAGGCTCTAAAGTAAAACTTAATTTAAATTTTCCCTCTGCTACTGACTAGCTGTTTGGTTTTGTGTAAGTTACTTGGTGTCTCTGTACTTTGGTACCCTCATCTGCAAAACTGATAATAACAGAATGCATTTAAAGTGCTTAGCCTAAGCCTGACTCATTGCAAGTCCTTAATAAATACTATCACTGTAGAATTGTATACCTAAAACCATTATAATTGCATTAACCAATGTAACCCAAAAATTCAATTAAAAATACTATTATTGTTATATTAATTACCTCTACTATTATTGAAAAGTAGTTCTCTCTAGTTTGTCTTATTGTTATTAGCATAAGCTCATATTTAAGACAAAATTATATTTCCTAAACGTATAACTGTAGGTTATGTGGTGGAAATCAACAGACAGATTACATAAAAGGGAGACTTGAGCAAACAAGTATCTATTAAATTGTGAGAAATATAAATGTCTGAGGGTCTACTGTAGTACCAGATCCTCAAAAAACTTGCAATATAGCTGCGAGAGTTTATGTTATTATTTACTAAATTCATAAATAAAAATAAAATGTGGAGAGGCTGGATCAAGATGGAAGACTGAGAATATGTTGATATATTCCTTTCCCTCCTTCTAATCCCTGATAATTAAAGACAATTTAATAAGCAAAAATAAGTAATGACATTGGATCCTACCAGAGGAGTCTTCCAAAGGAAAAGAAACTTAGAAGAATGTCCTTAAGAAAGAGGAGAGGTGGAATAAGTTGAAGATGGAGACTATTCATACACTGAACAGGCAAACTAGAAAATACAGAAGTGACTCTAAGGTTCCTTCAAGCCAAAAACTGGAGGATCCTGTGAGCAGAAGGTCTGTTAAGGCAACTAACAAGGTGGCTGCTTGAAAAAGCATAAAGGACAGACTTCTCTAAAACAATTTAGTTAAAGAGCAACAGAGGTATTTGCCTCTGGGCAAGAGGAGTTATTGTCCCAGAAGGCTGGTCACACCCAGGATGAATAGAAGCCCCTCTTCAGAAAGCCAGCTCTTGCCCATCCCCTAATACCACTGGGTAAGAATGTAGTAAACAAATACATTGTAACACGGTGGACATCAAAAGTCTTAAATACTCTGAGGACACACCCAAGAAAAACTGAACATTTGAGAAAAGCCAACAAAATAAAAGATTGCTTATTCAACAAAGAATAATTTACATTTGTATGAAACAGAATAACTAGAACAGTAGGTCTCAAACATGATGCCTAGACCAGCAGTATCAGTATCATTTGGAAAACTGTTAGAAATGCAAACTCTCAGCTTCCCCTTTCCCCTCAGCTACTGAATCAGAAATTCTGGGTGGGGCATGGGTGATATACATTTACAAGTTCCTCAGGTATTTCCGATCAATGTCAAAGTTTTACAACCACTCTGCTAGAAGTAAGACAAAACACAACAAAACAAAAAACAAGGCCAAACTAGATAAACATTTTTAGAGAGGAAGGAAAGAATATTGAATCAATATTAAAAAATTAAAAAAGACTCTAACAAAATTTTTATTTTTGAAATTTTACAAACAATAGAATGTTAGCTTGAGTGCTATTAAATACACTAAAACACAGTTGCTTAAACAATGTGGAAGATTTTCCCTTCTCACATCATAACCCAGGGATTAGCAATCGGTTTAGGGCTGGAAGGAAACTGACATATTCGACAAATGGCTTCCCGCTTGTGTGTCCCAGTGGCTGGTACATCTTTAAGCCAGTAGAAAGGGGGAAAAGAACAAAGAATTGCAACCAAGTCACTCTGAGAGTACCGCATATCATTTTCCCTCACATTTAGTTACTGGGCTCACCAATACACAAAAGAGGTAATGAAATGTGGTCTTCAAAGGAGCCGCCATGAGCCCAGCAAAGCTTAACTATAATGGGAGAATGGACTTTGGCCAAGAACCACTAGTTCATTATAGGCTGACCTGCAGAGCACGCAGCACCCAAGGGAATTACTAAGCATGCAACTTGGCAAGAAAATATTTTCAGATTCAAGGTAAATGGTACAAAAAAATAATAAAGGAATATTAAGAGAGATGTAAGATAAATGATACATCTTCCAGGCAGAATGAAGAAAGTTGATTTTAAAAGTTACTCAAAACATAGTAGAAGATGGATGGACCTAGAGGGTATTGTGCTGAGTGAAACAAGTCAGACAGGGAAAGCTATTTTGCTTATATGTGGAATCTAAAAAAAAGCTAAATGAACAAACAAAACAAAACAGAAACAGATTTATAGATATACAAAACAGATGGTTTCTAGAGGAGAAGGGAGTAAACAGATGGGTGTAAAAGGTGAAAAGGGAATAGAGTCACCAAAGTTTCAGTTAAAAAATAAATAAGCCATGGGGCTGTAATGTACAGCACAGGGAATATAGTCAATAATATAATTACTTTGTATGGTGACAATGGTTACTGGACTCATCGTGGTGATCACATTGTAAGGTATATAAACATGGAATCACTATGTTGTATGCCTGAAACTAGTATAATATGGTATTTCAACTATACTTTAATAGAGTAATTTACAAATAGAAGAACATTTCCCATACTGAAGAAAGACAGGAGCTCTCAGATAAAAAGGGCCATCATCAAGTCTCAGGCATATCACAATAAGATTGCAAAGGACACAGTGAAAAGTCTACAAGCTTCCAGAAAGGAAATAAAGAACCGAGATCTGATTGACATTAGACTTTTGATCAAATGCAGCTTCAAAATTATAAAGGAAAATAATTTTGAAAATAAGTGTGACTTTCTGCACCCATTCAAATTAAAACCCAAGAATGAGGGTCATTCAATAGCACTTAGATGGTATACCTCCCATGCATAATTTGAAATAATTACTACAGAATGTGTTCTAGCAAGAAGAATAAATTAAAAGGGAATAAAGAGTGACCAAAAACCTCAAAAAAAGTTAAGTTAAATACATTTTATTTGAAAAAATAATTTCATATATATGTAACTCTATCAAAATCTGAAGTGATTCTAATATAGTAAGTTATAAATACGTAATAAATTATATATATTTACGTAAAATTGTAATTCTAGATCAAATCTTCACTGGATAGGAAGAATGAGGAAGAGGGAGAAGGAAATAAAGGATAAAAAAAGGCTTGCTAAGGTTCTTGACTTGTTCATGGAAAAGATGTAGAGCCTGATTATATGCATTTGGTATTAAAAAATTAGGTGCATTAAAAGTTTTTATGAAAGTCTGGCTGGGTAGTTCAGTTGGTTAGAGCGTCATCCTGATATGCCAAGGTTGTGGGTTCACATAAATAGGTGGAACAACAACTGATGTTTCTCTCTCTCTTCCCCTTTCTCTAATACCAGTAAATTTTAAAAATCAATAAAAAACAAACATATAATAAAAAATAAAATTTTTATGAGTAATCACTAAGAAAATAGAAAATAACTATTGTTAAACTATGAAAGAAGAAAAAAATGAAATGTTTAGTCAAAGCAACAAAAAGAAGGACGGTTAGTAAAAGAATAAAAAACAAGAATGAATAATAAGTAAAAAACAAAACGAGATGGCAGGAATGAGTACACAAATATCAATAATGACACTGATATAAACAAGAAAAATTTAAAATAAATACTAAGCATTGAACTCAAAAAACTCAAGAATAACATAAACATGATACAAGGAATCAATGAAGGTAAAGTAACTTATTAAATGAAAACTTACTCCTTTTACTGGCTTTTACCCAATCCCTCTGTTTACTGCTCATATCTCACTTCTATATCTCACAAAACCTCAAATTCACATCCCAAGATTTTATGGGGTAAATTGATTTGGTTCTTGATTCCATCCCCCTCAGCAGACATTTAGGTTTTCACTTCCTCTACTCAAGGAAGTTAACACTTCTTTATCTGTGTTACAACTTTAAAAAAAAAAAAAAACCTACTGACATTTACTATTCTTTCCTTTCATGTGTTCTTTTGTTCCTATATGTTTATACTTTTTGTTTATTCCTTTAATATCATTTTATTGGAACTTGGAAAATACTGTAAAGATTTTACTTTCCCCATCTCATATCTATTGTCTCTTACTTCCTTACTAATAAAACCTCAGTCTTACTGAGGAGCAACAATATGAAACTTTTAAAAAGTATTTATAACACACTCAAAGCAGGGAGTGTCACATGACACAGTTCAGGTCAATGAGACACAAGTGAAAGTCACTAGATGGGGCTTTCAGGGAAAACTGTTGAAGGTGCTGCTGTACGTGGGACATGCTTCCTTTCTAGGCTTCTCCTTTCTTTCTGCATAGGAAGCAGACATTATACTAAATGTTAATTATCCATTTTATCATCAAATGGTAACAATCTGATAATAAGATTAATGGAGTGGTAATGTAAAAAATATTTAGTCCCTGATGACATTACAGAGCCACCATCAAATCCCTTTTACAAATAAGGCAGTAAAAATTAGTTTGGACTGAGAAAATAAAAAATATATTAGGCTGGAATAACAAGCACTAATAAAGTCAGCTACAAGTTAACAGGAAACAGACATTGAAGGAAAAATTTAAAAAGATACAAATAAATGGAAGCATATACTGTGCTCATGGATAAGAAGAATTAGCATTGTTAAAATGTCCATATTACCAAAAGCCACTAATAAATTCAATGAAATTCCTATCAAAATACCAAAGGCATTTTTCACAGAACTAGAACAAATAACCCAAAACTTTATATGGAACCATAAAAGATCTAGAATA